CCTTTTCTAAAGACACTGATGTCACAACCAATCAGGGGCCATATGATAATCAGGTGATAAGTGGTTCATACAGCGGGAGCATGAAGAAAACCCATATGTAGTAAGTCCCCTGTAAGTAATGCGGAGTGTCAGGCTTGCCTCTAACCAGTTGGGATGGCATGACGTACAGACTCCTCCCTAGTCTATGATTCTTCACTCAGTGCTTATTCTGTAATCATCTCACAGCCCTGAGAATTTGGCATTTTAATTTTATCTCTCAGGGGAATATGTGGATACTGGCACCATGACAAGTATAACAGTACAACAGAAGGACAGTTACCTTAGGCTTACACCCCATCCTTTCTTTCCAGATTTCCAAGAAAGAAAGATATTTTCAAGGTTCATAGCAAAAGATTTTACTGTGACTTCACATGCATGGTCTTTCACTACATGAAATCTCAAAAAACTGTGTGTTCCAAACTGTTTCTTGTCTGGATAGTCTAACCATAAGTCATTCATTTTTAATCATTCCACAAATATATTTTCAGCATCCATTGTATGCCAGACACAGCGGTGGCCATTGGGAAGCAGTGTGGTATAGTGGTGAGGAATGGGAGCTTTGAACACAGATAGGGTTTGAATCCCAGCTGTCATTTACTGTATTGTATGCCTGTGTGTGTTCTTTAACTTCTCTGAGTCTTATTTTCTCATTATGAAAAGAGGAAAATACTCAAGCCAATTTATTAGATAATTGTGAGGGTTAGGGAATACCCTGGTGGTCCAGTAGTTAAATTTCTGTACCTCCAATGTAAGGGGTACAAGTTTAATCCCTGGTTGGGGATCTAAGATTCCACATACCATGTGTGTGACAAAAAAAAAAAAAAAGATTATTGTGAGGATTATAGGAGCATAAACACCAAATCTGCTCAGATGATGATGGTGATGATGGAGATGATTTGTATTAGTTTGTTCAGGCTGTCATAAAAAAAAAATCTTAGTCTCAGTTGTTCAAACGACAGAGATTTATTTTCTCCATATTCTGGAGTCTGGAAAGTCCAAGATCAAAGTCCAGCAGGTCAAAGTTTGTGGTAAGAATTCTTTTTTGCTTATAGATGATTACCTTCTGCTGAGTAATGGCACATGGCCAAGAGAGAGTGAGCAACCCCTCTGATGCAAAGGGCACTAATCCCATCGGATCAGGGCTCCACCCTCATCAAACCCTTATTACCACCCAAAGTCCTCATCTCCAAATACCACTGGGACTCAGGACTTCAAAAGATAATTTTGGGGTGACACAGTCCAGTCTGTAGCATTGATATCATTATTTCCTCTTACCTGCAGCTACATTTCACCATTTATATCAAAGGAGTAAGAATATTTATCTTTTTTAATATACCAGAATCCCTATGGAAATTGCACAATTCAAAAAAGCCACCTTTGGGCCTTCCAGAAATGACTCAGCTTCTCTCTTTAAGGACTCTCTAAATTCAAGCAGCCTCTATGTTTTCAAGATCCGCTTTCTGTCCAACCACACTCTCCGGTCACCCGTAGCAGATGTTGGCTCTGGTAAATACTGTAACCCAAGGATTGTAAACATTTCTGAGGCAATGTTTAGAATGGTTACAGCCACCCCTCTAATTTAGCTAAGACATTTTTTCACAACGTCAGGATTAAATAGCCAACTTACGCCCTGTGCACACAAATGACTCCAACAATAGGGTCCACAGCTGACCCAATAATGAACTTTCTTAACCTATCCTTGAAAAGAAAAGCAGTCGTATTATTTACCTTCAGATGGGTTTTTCAGGGTTTCTGAACCACCCATCTGACTTGCTCTTTATGTCAGGACCCTGAAAGTTCCTGTTACTAAGGAAGAAGAACATATTGCACCCCAAAGTCCATTTTCATTAGCAGAGCGATGATGCCATCATGCACTTCTTCTGGGGGAATTAAGGTTGTGAACAAAAGTTTGCTGTAACTAGCTCCAGCCAATGGCTAAATACTCTGGACTTGCAACCTCATTGTTGAATCTGAGTTTGAAACTGGCTGAGGTAGGAACATTTACACCTTGAAAATCAGGAAATACTACAGGTCAGGGCTTTTTCCCCTTCTAGAAGTTTGTCAACATTCAGTGGACTTTAACTTCTCCCATTTTTAAAAGTCCTAGACTGGGATAAGTCTTCACCATACCTGGGGATACAGATCATATAATTTGCTCTAATATACAGATTCTTTGCCTCCACATAGTATCTAATGCATAATACTCTCTACTACTGTCTTGGCACTTGGTGCTTTAGAAGACCAAAAGTTGCCACAAAACTGGTCTTGATAGTATTTATAAAAACAAAAACGTTTATCTGATAGATATTAGGAGGAGAATGAGAGTGAGGAGTGGAAATAAAATGAAACAAAAAATAAGCAAGTCAAGTGAGAGATCTTGCAGAGATGATAAAATCATGCCAAGTCCTATGACATTTAAGTAATTCTATCTCCTGTACTTGAAGTATAAGGGGTGGGGCAAAGAGTACACTGCAGAAAAGTCAATGTTGAGTGTAATATGTGTACATATAATTGTAACACCACAAACTACTGCAGGAAGGAATCATGTCTCACTAGTTTCTGCACCTCCAGTATTTACTGCAATGCTTGTCATCGAGAAAGAATTCATAACATATTTCTGAAACATCTAAGTGAGTTATTGAATAGAAAGAAAGAAAGTGAAGTTGCTCAGTCGTGTCCAACTCTCTGCGACCCCATGGACTATATATATAGCCCACCAGGCTCTTCCGTCCATGGGATTCTCCAGGCAGGAATACTGGAGTAGGGTTGCCATGTCCTTCTCCAGGGGATCTTCCCGACCCAGGGATCTTCCCGACCCAGGGATCAAACCCAGGTCTCACGCATTGCAGGCAGACGCTTTACCCTCTGAGCCACCAGGGAAGCCCGAGTTATTGAATAAGTGAATAATAATAATAATAATAATAATAACAGAGTTTCCCTGGTGGCTCAGTTGTAAAGAATCTGTCTTCAATGCAGAAGACATGGGTTCAATCCCTGGGTCAGGAAGATCCTCTGGAGAAGGAAACAGCAACTCACTCCAGTATTGTTGCCTGGGAAATCCCATGGGCAGCAGAGCCTGGTGGGCTACAGTCCATGGGGTTGTAAGAGTTGGACATAGGGACTAAACTATTACCACCAACAACAGTAATAGCAATGCTAATAATAATAAAATCCCAATCTTTCAGCACAGTTACCTTTCACTATGGATACCAATAAAATTGTTTCCAATACACATTAGATGCCATCACTGACTTGTTTGGAACCCTCCAATGGCTTCTGATCACACCTAACCTCACTAACCCTGACCCCAAGTCCTTTCTGATCAGTTACCCACCTAATTCTCATCTTGTACTCCTCTGCCTCTCACTTACTTGGCTCTGTCTGCAGTAAGCCTTCTCTCCTCTCCTTGAATGTCTCATTCCTTGCTCAGACAGTTTATACTTTGCTCTCTTTTCCTATAGACCTTGACTTGGCTTATCCTTTGACTCATGCAGGTGTTTTCCCAAAGGTCATCCCCTCATGGAAAATATCCCTTGGGCAATGTACCTAAAAATAGAACCACCATCACTAGACAGTGTTTGACTTTTTTAATGTTTTATTTTTCTGTAGAGCAGTCACACTTTATGACACTTTTTTATTCAATGGTTTGTTCATTGTCCTCATCTTATTGAAGATTGACTCTAGGAGACTGGGGACTTTGTCCATCTTGTCTTGTACAGTACCCTTGATTTCTGGAACAGTGCCCATCACTATAGGATCTCACTAAACTTTTGATGATCTTTTGATAAGTGATGAATGAATGAGGGAATGAAGGAATGACTTCATTCACAAAAAGTCTAGAGTAATTGGTCAAGGCACCATGAACTACAGGGGCATCTCAATCTACAGAGGTCATAACCCTGCTAACTGCTCCTGGAGGCAAGCTGATGATACTGCAGTGCTAATCATGGCAGCTCTCCAGTCTGAACCTCTAATTATAGGCCAGGTTCTGAGTAACAGAAACAGAACATAGTCACATGCATAATGCAGGCAATTATAATTCAACATCCAAAATCTAACTTGATGTATCCCCTCATCCCCAACTTTTCATTTCTTTTCTCAGCTCATGATATTGCCAAAACCAAACAATGGGGTACCATCCTAGATTTTTTTTTTTTATTCTCCACATTGCCACCCTCAGAGATATCATTCTAAGATGCCATGTTCTCAGTAAAAAAAAAATATCCAGTACTTACAGGTTAAAACCCAGACCTCTTAGAAAGGCATCAAGGCTACTATTCCTCCGACTCAGAGCTAGTTTCCCAGTTTCATTTCTAGAGTCATATATTAACTTCTGGTCACTGGCTAGATTTTTTTTACCCCACACAAGCTGTGTGTAGCTTACCATTTCTTGATTCTACCATGCTCATTCATGCCATCATTTACACCTCTGAGATCCTCTGACTAAACTATCTTGCCTCTCCCAGCCTGGCATATGAATCATTCAATGCTCTCACAGGAAGCCTTTCCTGACAAGCACCAAGCTGATTTAATTGCCTTCTCCTGATGTGTTCTTTGGAAATCCTAAATGGGCTCCTGGTTCTAACAGTTTCCCTCTTGAAAAAGCTCCAACAAGAGTGCTAATCTCCAGGGTACACATGTTTAACCCCATCACTGAACCGGCTAAGTCTGCAAGGAAATTCTTTATAAATACTGAGAAGAGAGGGCCAAAAACCTAATTAATTTTTCAACACCGAAGTCTGAGTTTTACAATTTGTCTCTTTTTTACGATAATAAATTTCTCTAAAATAAGCAGGGCCTGGTGGTTGGGCAAGGGGCCAGCAATCCTCATTTGGCAAAGGGTTGCCTTGACTCAGGCTGTGTATATTTGGAGAACAATGCCATAGGTCAAATGTCAGTGCTAGCCCAGTTCCCTTCCAATAGAGAATGTAGAACCCCCTTGTGTGCCAACTGCCAAGAGATAGCCATGGATGTCCTTTTGGTTCTCACCCTAAGAGCACTTTGGGCCTTTGTGAATGCCAATATCTTCAAACTGAATTCACAGACTTGTAGAACTCATGATCTTGAAGTGACCTTAGAAATGATTAAGTTAATCATTTACTTATTCCATAGGTAAGGCATATTCCTGCTTCTAACACTAGCTTTCAGTCCACCGACACCTTTTATCTAGTCCTAGCTGCTCAGAAAGATAATCTGCCATTCCTTCTTTTCCTATTCCAGAGTCAAGAAGAACTCAGGTATCAATCCCACAAGAAATCAAACAATTAACTCCAAATTACCACTAAAGGTAAAAACAATTACCATCTTATTTCTAACAACAGAGGCAAGGGACTTCCCTAGTGGGTGCAGTGGCTAGAGTTCTGCCTTCTGACTCAGGGGGTGCAAATTTGATCCCTGGTCTGGGAGCTAAGATCCCACATGCCTCATTGCCAAAAAGAAGAAAACAGTCAAAAACATAAAACAGAAACAATATGGTAATAAATTCAATAAAGACTTAAAAAATACAGACATAAGTGACATACATCCCCTTCATGCTTTAGACAGCACTCTGGATTAAAAACTTCACAGTAGGAAAATAATGGAAAGGTTGCTTTCTTAATTCCTGTGTGTGTGTGTGTGTGTGTGCGCGCACACACTAAGTTGCTTCACTTGGATCTGACTCTGCCATGCTGTGGACCGTAGCCTTCCAGGCTCCTCAATTTATGAGATTCTCTAGGCAAGAATTCCAGATTGGGTTGCCATGCCCTCCTCCAGGGGGTCCTCCCAACCCAGGGATTGAATCCGTGTCTCCTGTATTGAAGGCAGACTGCGTTCTGCTGAACCTCTGAGGAGGATCTTAATTCCTACATACCTAGACCTTTTGAAAACTGCATTTTCTTTTTGCTTCAAGTTTTAGTTTTCTATTTCTGTGTAGCAACTGGAAATGATACATATCTATGAGCTCACACTTTGTATAGGTTGGACGTCTTGGTGCACAAGACTGGATTATCTGCCCAGGATCTCATGAAGCTAAAACAGGGTTGGTGTCCTTGTTTGATGTTCAGGGTCCTCTTCCCAGCTCACCATTACTGGTAGAATTCTATTCCTTGCAGTTGTTGTATTGAAATCTCTGCTTTCTGGCTGGCTGTTGGCAGAGGCCATTCTCAGCTCCTAGAAGCTGCCCGTGTCTTTCACCATCTTTAAGCCAGCAGTGATCCATTGAATCTTTCTTGTATTGCACATCTCTGGCTTCCTCTTCTGTGATGCTGGAGGAAACAGTATACTTTTTAAAAGGCTCATATGACTGAGTCAGTCTCACATGATGATTTCCTGGTCAGTTGATTTGGTACCTTTATTACATCTGCAAAATCCCATCATAGCAACACCTAAATTAGCACTTGATTTAATAACTTGGAGTACGTGTGTATAAATCAGAGGCCAGAGGTCTTGGAGAGACATCATAGAATTTTGTCTGCCCTACCTTCTCAGAGTCATCAAGAAAGCAGATTTCAGAAAGAACATGAAACTTCTTTCTTTACCCTCTCCCCAAGTTTTCTCTTTGTATATAGTTCTTGTTTTTCTGCACATTTTTGCCTAGGTGTCCTACAGGCATCTTGAACTCAGTATGTTCTCATTTCAGATGGCATGGCAGAAGAGGATGGAATGAATTTAGAGAGATATTCAGATGCAACCAGAGCCACACTGGTCAAAACAAAGAAAGTTGGCTATACTCACATTGTAGTGGCATGCCATTAAAGACATTTAGCTAGGTGTGTAATATGATCAGGTGTGTTGGAAAGGTGAATGAGTGCAAGAAAAGACACCAGTGCAGAATAGTTGCAGTGCCCAGGTAAGAGGTGATGGTGGTCTGAACTGGTGTCAGAAGTGTAGGACAGAGACTTTTCCCATTAATACAGTCTAACTAGATCTGCACACAGCGTTCTCCACACTTCTGTCTCATATTACTCATTGCATTATTTTGGAACTATCATCTGGGTTGTCTCTCTCCCCTTCTTGACTATCTTATAGCACTGTACCCCCAGCACAGTGATGGCACATAGTAGGCAAGCAGGAAATGCTCACGAACCATCTGTCCTGTTCCCTATGCCATTGCCCCAGACCCAGCTGCCTCCTTGTGGAAACCTCTGCCAGACCTGATCTTGCTTTCCCTGCCTCAGTTCATATGATGTGCCCTGCTTGACCCAGTAGCATCTGGGGTTCTTTTTGTCTTCCCTCTGTACTCCCATGGTCTAGTCCATTCAACCCAAATTGAAGTCCCCTCCTCCCAGCTCATTTGGCTCTCAGTTACTGGCCAAGACTGAACAAATTCCCTCTTGTCTCTGGCTGCGCTGAACTGAATATTTTATTATCTTCCTCTACCACAAAATCTGGGCTTCCTGGTGGCTCAGTGGTAAAGAATCCACCTGCCAATACAGGAGAAGCAGGCTTGATCACTATGTGGGGAAGGTCCCCTGGAGAGGAAAATGGCAACCACCCAGTATTCTTGCCTGGAGAATCCCAGGGAGAGAGGAACCTGGCGGGCTATAGTCCATGGAGTTGCAAACAGTCAGAGACAACTTAGTAATGAAACACCAAGCCCAAAGTCTACAACAGACACCACTTTTGCTACATTCTCGATATTCCAGCTCCATGTCTCCCCCAGTCTGCCATATAGCCCCTCCCATGTGCCTCTCTTAACCTTCTAGACCAGTCCACCAAGGAATAAGGGCTGGAGTTTCCACAGCCCCAGACATATTAAGACAGAACATTTATATTTAATAGCTCTTTGCTCTTCTTTCCACTTTTAGGATTCTAAAATGCCCTTGTGAGGTCTAATGAGTCCAACTGGAAATATTGCCAATTTCTTCTGATGGCTCTTCAGTCTGACTACTCCCCTCTGCTGGGTGAGTCTTGTGAAAATTACTTTACTCAGAGATTTGACTTCACTTGAATTTTACTTTTGGTCCTATTGGAAGACAAGCCGTTTACTCCTGCACCCTCCCCTCCCCCTTCGAATGAGCATCACGGGGACTGTTTGTGTTCTGTTCCTAAGACTGCTGTTGAACCTGAGGCTCCAGGAAGAGCAAGACCCTCTTAGGTTTTGGCAACCAAATCCTACACTGCCTCCCTCCATTGGTTTTGGCCTCTCAGTCCTGGTACCTTGGGGACAATTTGCAAAATTAGGAAATTAAGAAAACAGAGACCAAAAAAGACTTGGGAAATGCTTAGTAAGGAAAACCCCTTCAGAGATGAAACCTCAACAACAAATTTGTCAAGAGAATTTGAACTGTAGACTCTCTGATGGAGCACTCTAAATAATAAATATTCTGTCTCTCTTTCCTTGAAAACCTAGTAGATGCTAAGTGAACATTAATTTTCTCTAGAGGGCCAGGAGGAGGAAAAAAACTATCTTTGATTAACAAATGGCAATTTATGAATAAACATCTTCCACAAAAGACGAGTTCATATGGAGAGCTGATTTCAGCTCTAGTGGCTCAAATAGTAAAGAATCCATCTGCAAACCTGGATACCTGGGTTAGATCCCTGGGTTGGGAAGACCCCCTAGAGAAGGGAACAGCTACCCACTCCAGTATTCTTGCCTGGAGAATTCAATGGACAGAGGAGCCTGGCAGGCTACAGTCTGTGGGATTGCAAAGAGTAGAACAGGACTGAGTGACTTTCACTTTCTTTCATTTCTTTGCTGTAAGTTTTCTTGGAACCCTTCATTGTACTCAATCCCTTCCTTTTCTGGACCCATGAACTTCAGACTTGTGATCCCAGAAGAATGAGGGATGTTGCTTGTATGAGGTGGCAGATTCCCCCTTTTCTCGCAGTTAATATGATCCTTTCCTCTATGTGTGAAATATCACACTTACAAACATTTTACCAGGAGGTTTATTTGCAAAAGAGAAACCAATTTCAGGAGAAGAGATGGGGTCCTGGTTCTGATTTTCTCCATGAATGTTCTGAGTCAGCCAAAAGGATACCTATACCCAATGGGCATCCAGAAATAGGAAAGAAAGGAATTCCACATAAATTTTTGTAAGGCAAAAAACAAAGATGGGTTGTATCTTCAGTGTGACCACAAATTTCACTTTAAATAAGTTTTACTTAAATCACATTGTTTGAAATTTACATCCAGTGTCTGCCAGGCATTAAGGCTCTCTACTTTTATAGGAAGATAGTTCCTTCTTCACTGGCTTGCAGGGTACCAAAGAAGGCATCTGGGTGCCATGTGAGGCACAGATACTCTTTAATGTCACCTCTCCCATACTCTTTAATGTCACCTCTCCCAGGCTCTGAAGTCAGCTCTGCACCCTGGTGTGGGTTTCAACTCCACCTCCTTGTCTACAAGCTAAAGAAATAGTGAGCATAAACTGATCTCCATTGCAATATTTTTGTGGCAGAAAGTTGTATCTTTTTCAGGCTTATTCATTAGTCTTGTCTCCATTGTCTAGAACGAAGGCATAAATGTGTGTGTGAGAGAAAGAGAGAGATAAGATGAAGCGACAGAAGCAAGAGCAGGAGGAGGAGGGGAGAAGAGAGGGGGAGAGAGAAACAGAGAGACACCCTACAGAACAGGCTGCTATTGAGGATATGAAAGTAAAAAGGGCACACAAACAACTTCAACTATAAAATTCCCTAAACCTCCAGCAACGCGCTGCTTCCCTTCTTTAAGCAAATCAGCTAAAGAGAGACTGTCACCATGAAAACCATGAGACCTGCCCAACTATCCTTGTTGTTAGATGTATCCTGAGGTCAGAGAAAACCCACCAGATCATCATTACCTCCTCCATCCCAGGAGCAGGGGCTGTGAGAGTTGTGAGCTTGTTACTAACAATGCAGAAAGCAGCAGGGAGAAGTGATATTAACGTATGACATGCAATTGTTCATTTAGTGGACAAATTAGTGGACACGATATATTTTGCTCATTTTGGTAACTTATTCTGAGAGTTGAGACTGAGAGATTTTGTTGACATTTTACATATCACAATCAAAATCACAATCAAAACAAACATCCATTATACAAAGAAACATCAATATTCTGAATTACTGAAGTTCCTCAGGTGCCCAGAAAGTCTGCAAAAGTCTACAGGGACCTAGGCTTAATTGCTATTTTCATGAAGGGTGAGTGAATTTCAGCTATTTGAACTACATGGAATTTTTAGAGTGCATTTTATGGCTAGAAGCTTTCCTTTTCTCTTCTTCTCTTTTCCTTTAAATAATTTGACTTGCTCAGGAACCATATTCTCATACCCTGTACCCATATTCAATTTAGAGATGAGAAATTGGAGACTTGGAGAACTGAAACAATTGGTTCAAGATCACAGAGTTACATCTGGAAAAGCTGATCTTTGAAATTAGGTCTATATGATCTCAAAGCTCAGTCATTTTCCATCACACCATGAACCTGAAGTGAAACACCAATTGGAGCTTAACTGGGATGTGTTTCTACACATCCCTGAAGGACAAAGATGAATGTTTTAGAGTCAGGGACATAGAAAGCCTGAGAGGCCCCGAAATGGTGAATACTTCCAGACTGTGGAAACTACTCTTAGCAAGCTCGCTGTCAAGTTCATTGTTGACAAATCCAATGTATTCTCAGGAAAGCAGTATTCTTATGTGTAAGTAATTGGAACTCAACATGGAAACCTAGGAGTAGGATTGATCTTAGACACACAGTTCAAAGTGGATCCTGGAGTGAAAATAGCAGTCTCCTCCCTTTCCCCCACTTCTTCTTTTCCTTTCTTCCCTGTCCTCCTCCCCATTTCCTCTACTCCTTTCCTCATTCCTCTCTGAACATCCCTTGCTTCTTCCTCTATTTGTCACATTCCCTCCTACTGACAACTTTTTCCATTTATGTAGATAAGAGAGAAGCAAAAACACTACAGAATACTTGAGACTTACATCATGCCAGCCTGGCAACGGCAGAAGATGAAATGATTTGAACAATCTTGATTGACCCTTTTGGATCATGACCTCAATGGACAACCCAAGAAAGTAATTGACACAAATCCCTGAAGATGTATTTTGGACCTAACCTCACTTCAATTACCAGAAGCATGTGTCCTCTTCTTCCTGAATTTCCAAAATCTTCAGTTCTCTTCTAAGCTTGGAATTCCACTTTATAATCAGTTTTATTATAATCTTCTCATATATGGTGTAAACCCTCTAGCAAAGCATGGAGGATCCTCATGGTTTGGTTAGTGGTAGTGATGAAATGATAGTAGTGGTGATAACAGATATCCTTTACTGAGCACCTAGGATGGGCTATGAATTTGGAGTCTGATGTCAAGTATAAATAAAGTTGGTTTCAAACCAAGACTCACAACTTGCATATTATTGGATCTTGTCATTGCATTTCAGTTTCCACCTTTGCAATATGGTGGAAGGGGTAAGAATAGCTTTTGCCTCAGAGCATTTTAGGGAAGTTTAATTAGAAATATGCCCATAAAATACTGGGCACAAGGCTTGACAGATGTGAAATACATCAATAAAACACAGCTACTATTTATATGTCCCAGTCAGATCTCTTGACATTTTATTTGATCCTCAACAACTGAGTAAAGATGAAAGTATCAACCTGATTTCTTTCACAGGTGAGGGAACAGAGGCTTAGAAAGAGCTGGATATTCACTCAAACACTCCTACTTCATCGGTGACAGCCTGGGATGAGAAGAAATCTCACAGCCTTCAAAGCTCTAACCATCTGATCACCAAAGGTTCTTTGTCACTATTGGACCAAATTTTAGGTCATAATCTGGTAATATCTGAAACTGGTTCTGTACCCAGATATTCAATGTGCACAGTTGCCAGAATGGACAATGAACATCCCTGGGGTGGTGTTCAGGGCTCTGCTATTTCTGTCTCAGCATCCCTCTTTCTTTAGTGTTTCGTTTATCATCTCACAGACAATCTCCAGGGCTGTTTTAGAACCACTTCCACAGTGTTGCTGCCCAAAGACTCCTGGGAAACAATGACACTGACATCCTGTCTGGCGTTATTACTGTTTTAACACGCTGTGAGCTTTTTCTGGGATGAGTGCATTGAGTCCATGACCCACGCCGGAGGCCTGTGTCTTCCTGGTAGAGAATAGTTTCTCAGGGTTACCCAGATGAGGGTAAGGATGCCTTTGAAAACGCTTTCTGTTTGATGAAGTCCTGAGAAGGGGGCAGGCTGCCTCTGTCTTCCTTCGACTGTTGCTTGAGGTTGTGTCCGATCCCAGAATAAGCATCCGCATCTGTGTTATTCTGTTAACTGAAAGGGAAGGAATTAGCGCATGGACTTGTCACATCTCGTGACCTGTTGCACATTGAGATGCGAGGTGGCGGCAGAACAAACGGCATTCTTTCTCTCTGCGCCTTTCAGACTCACTGAGGAGACTCAGAAGAGCGACTCGGACTACATGAAACGCACCAACGCCATCCCTAAAAATCAGACGGGGCCTCTCTAAGCTGCACCTTATGCATAGCTGAGGGGAAGGGGTGGCAGAACCTCAAAGGAAACTTCCCGTCTCTGCCAAGCTCCAGATGGAGGACCTTCCCACGGAAATGCTTGCTGGAGGCGCTTTGCTGACAGAGTGCTGCCAGGGAAAAGGGCCTCTGGTGGGGCTACTCTTGCCCTTTCTCACGGGAGAAAACCAGAACACTCTGAAGGTGGGAGAGGCCCTCAAAGGCCAGGCCTTGATGGAGGGGCCGGATGGGAGGTCCTTCGTGAAATGTCTCAGGGAAGTTCTGATCCTGGGCAGGTGGCTTGCCATTGACTCCTGGCACATAGATTTTCAATGCAACACGACAGCACACTGAAGGTGTGTTTGATCTGCGTTTCTGTTTTCCAAAGCTTTCACAGGAATCCACGCTTGACTAGTGTTGGATACAGATTTAGAGCAAGAATCCACTTGGGTACCAAGTGTTTTAGAGAACTTGGGCTTCTTCTTGGCTCTCCCAATGTCCGTTACCAGTTTGCCTTGGCAGAGACTCAGGAAATGCGAGAGAAAAGAAAAAAGAAATTCTTATTTTTTGAACCCAACTAAATAACACCCCACCGTAGAGAGGGGAGGCAGAGACCAAGGGTCGAAACAATCACTGGCTCTCTCTCCAGGGAGAGTGGAGGCAGGACTCATCTCATGGGTGAGGTGGTCAAAACTGAGGGGAGGCTTTGTGTTCCCCAAAGAAATTTTGTCCAGAAGAAGGGGCTCCCCGCCAACCCGGATGGTCACTGCGAGCCATTGTCTGCTTCCTACTTCCCATGTCCTCTCAAAAAAAAAACACTCAGCTACATGAAGACAAACAATGATTCCGGGATCTCACTGACCCAGCCTACGTTATGACCTCTAGAAATAATTTCTCTATCAGCAAAAATACAAATATGCCTTTTTTTTCTCCTTGATTTCCTCTGTTTCTAGAATTTTATAGCACATACAGGGAGCCACAGTTGAGGTAGTTCCAGGCAGCTTGTTTCTCACCTCAACTCTGACCAAGAAGTTGTAAATCAGTAAGTGAGGGTTGAGGTTGGAGTCTCATTTCCAGTAAGCATCTGATCCACAGGACTCTGATAGGGCTGAAACATGGGCCCTGTTTATAAACATTTTGTGTTGGGGAGTCCATCGTACCTTGAATTCACAGATAACACATGATTCAGCTAAATTCTCTAAACCTCACTTTGAATATTCTGTGGAAGGAGTGTACTGGGTCCCAACATTGTCCATGATATGAACCAAGACAGAAGAGCGTGGCATCTACACTTCTGTGCCCTTTTTGTGTGCAATGTCCTCATCGTCCTAGACTTTAGCTAAGTATGGACCCCAGTAAGATGAAATCAAAGAACACTTTATCAAACATACATTTCACAAAATATTGCAGTGGTCATTGGTAACATGCAGATGTTCACAATGAATGATGGTATAGCAGAGTTTCAGCCTTGTAATAAATATTTTTGATTGAATATAATAAAGACATTAGATAACATCTATTATTTCCTGAACATGGCTCAGGGGCTGGAAATATAATAAAGAATTGAATCAACTATATGAAATAAGGACTACCATTATCTACATTTTACTGATGAGGAAACTGGTGCTCCAGAAGTTTTGAAAATTAATTCATAAGTGTCGTATTGGTGATGCTTTTTTGATGTGCAGTCAGGCAATCCAACTCCAGACTGTGTGTCCTTTAAATGCTATCATGGTTCTCTGGGGGAAGCAGTAAATATGACTGAGATAGAGAAGGTAAATGATGACAATTATTTCACACACAGAATTTTTTTCTATGCATTGTTTGATCTCTATACAGCCATGACCTCATCTCCAAGTCTCTTGCCACATCACCATGTCCAGCTTCCACTGCTTATTTTCACCCACAAAGCCAAAGACACCAAAGATTCAGCATATTTCAATATAAACTGATAATTTACCCTAAGACTCCCTTTCTTCTTAGACTTTTTGGTCAAGAAGAAAACCTGTATCTCTTCTTAGAAAAATAAATAAATAGAGGCTACCCGCTAAGGTCTAACTCCAACCCCAAAATGAATAGAGCCTAGGCTGGAGTGTCAAGAAAACAAACCCTTCTTCCAACAAAGGTAAGTCTCCAACATACAACTGAAAGAAAATAAGTATTAATGAAAGAATTCCTGCCTCCATTCTTATTTTCCCTATGTTGGATTCCATACATGACAGTTTGATGATTCTTCATGAACCTGATGCAATACCTACTGTGTGCCAGGTATTTTCTAGGTATTGTGACCATAGAGGCAGATAAGACAACTTATCCTTAAGAAGTTTATAGTTTAGGAAGGACAAAGCCTTCTTTTAAAACTTAGAGCAGTTTCTGCTCTGCTTCAAATTCTCCAGTGGCCTCCCATTGTAAGAGTAGCATCTGACATCCTGATCTCCTATATGGCTTACAAGGTGCTCCCTCACCTGGTTTCTGCTTCTCACTTCATGCCACCTTCCTTCTTGTTAAATGTCTGCAAGTTACATTGGCCTCTTGATCTTCTTCTGCCTTGAAACTTCTAAGCTCAGTTCCCAATTTGGAACTTGGTGCTATCTGTTTCTTCCCTGAATTCCCCTTTACTGATCATCTCCTGCCTGCATCCATCGGTCATTCATTTCTCAGTCTTACTGACTGTTCCTTAGCAAAGGTGTCCCAGAAGCTCCATAAAACAATCTTCTACTCTGCATACCACAACCACATATATTATTTCTCTGGATAGTGTTCTGGCTACCTAATACACTCTTATTTGTTTATTAATCATCTGTCTTCCCTATTACAGGGACTTCGCAGTGGCTCAGTGGTAAAGAACCTGCCTGCAATGCAGGAGACACAAGAGACAGGGGTTTGATCCCTGGGTTGGGAAGATCCCCTGGAGGAGGGCATGGCAATCCACTCCAGTATTCTTGCCTGAAAAATCCTATGGACAGAGGAATCTGGCAGGCCACAGTCCATGGGGTCACAAAGAGTTGGACATGACTGAAGGGTTGAGCACGCACCCGTATTATAACGTAAGTTGTAATAAAGGTGGTGTTCAATGGCTCATTTACAATTTATCTCATTATTAGAACAGGACCAGGTGCATTGTTGATTATAAATAAAAAGAGATGAAGAACTGAATTATTGAATAAACAAACTTCCACTGGACATGATCGTCCCTACTCTCTTGTTCTGCAGCAGGTTAAAGGAGAGATTTTGTTTGTTTTCATTTTCAAGAATCTATATGCTATGTTTTGTAATCTATTGATGACTTTGGGGCTTTGCTACAATGTATTCTAGTTGTTGAAGCATCAGAAATTAGAGAAAACTTTTTTATCAATAAAGATTGAATAGATAACAAAATAGAGAATTCTGCTTTCATTAAAATGCTAATGCATGCTTTTATTTATTGATATAGAAATGTTGTCAAAACATACTATTGATTAAAACATTTATGAAATATTATTAATCAGTTCATTGAAATCATACATGTGCATTCTGAGAGATGTTCAGTGAAATGTTAGTGGTTGCTTCTGCAAGGCTGTGGAATCTTAGGTAATTTAAAACTATTATTTATGGCTTTCTGTTGATTAATATTTTTACAATGATTTCATATTATTTTACTTACTAGAAGAACATTTTGAAAAGTTCCTTTCATTCAAAAACTAAAGTAAAAACATCAAATAAACA